TGCAGATAGTTTATGTTCACATACAGCTACATGACACACTGCATGAAAGGTAATATTGGAAAAGGCATAATAGGGACACTTTAAAAGATGATTTGGTGAACGGGATAGGTGAATATTGTTGTTTATCACAATTTATTTTTTATATTTGTGCATATGAATTCTTTATAGTATAGCATGCATTGTCAAAATGTATCATACATTTTGATTAGTATGACATGAGGGTGAGGTAATGACAGATATTTTTAGACTATATCTTGCCTTGTCGTGATTCTTTACACTGCAGAGTGTAATCAGATTTGCTGTACAAGTCATTTAAACCTAAATTAAATTAAGCTGACTTTAAAAATTGTAACTTAAAAAATTGAGTTCAAATTGGTTAAATTATTTTGAGTTAGTTAAATTAATGGAAAAACATATGTTGCCACGACTTGCCGATCATGTTGTTTTTTACAGTGTAGATGTTTGCATGTATTTTAGACATCCGTGTACGTCTTTGCAGGTGTTTCGAGAGGACGGCATCATGTCTGGGTACCGTCATCCCAGAAGCTCAGCCCTGGACTGCATTCTCAGCAGTTTTCAAATGACCAATGAGACGGTCAATATCTGGACCCACTTCCTACCGACCTGGTAAAGCGCCCAGTTAAGCATGTGATTCCTTTTTAGTGCCAGAACTAATAGCTTGTCAGCTTTGAAGCTTTGGTTGAGCTGCTTCATTATGCAGTCAGGATCTAGCTTATAAGCAGACACTTTTATGCAATATCGGATTTTACAAGCACTAAACACATTACTTGAAATGTATTATTCCTGTTATGTCAACCAACGCATGGTTGTGTGACCTAAATCTTGTTTTGGTGTATATCACATTATGGTTATTAACAAAAATGCTTTATCTTTTAAATAACCTTGTAATAATCAATTGTATAATACGCTTAAAATGTATAATAAAGAAATACATACATAATAACTATTCAAATATTTTTGAAGTATTTTTGAAAGAAATCTTTTATACTCACCAAGGCTGAATTAATTTGTTCAAAACTGCAGTAAAAACAGCAACACTGTGAAATATTATGATTTTAAAATAACTGTTTTCTATTTTAATATTTTAAAATGTAATTTATTTCTCTGATCAAAGCTGAATTTTCAGCATCATTACTCCAGTCTTCAGTGTCACATGATCCTTCAGAAATCATTCTAATATGCTGATTTGCTGCTCAAGAAACATTTCTTATTACTATTCTTATTCAGCTGCTTTTAAAGTGCCCCTATTATGGATTTTTGAAAATTAGCTTTCATGCAGTGTGTAACACAGCTCAAAGTGAATGAAAACATCCTGCAAAGTTTTAAATCTGAAAGTGCACCGTGTATAAAGTTATTGTCTCTCAAAAGAAAGAGTTGACTCTAGTGAATGAAAATATCCTGCAAACTTTTAAATATTGTAGAAACTTAATTTTCTGTAAAGTTGCTTTGCAATGTATTTGTAACGTAAAAAGCGCTATACAAATAAACTTGAATTAAATCTGAAAGTGCACCGTGTATAAAGTTATTGTCTCTCAAAAGAAAGAGACGACTCTGAATCATTGAAACGAGTCGTTTTTAAAACGAATCCCAATCCGTTTCATGTTGACGTCAACATGAAACATTAGCATGTAGACCACTTGTTGGTCTTTTCGCGTTGGTCTAAATGAAAATTCTAATTCATTCTTTGTCACTAGGTGTCTCTTTTGGAGCGGTAAAAATAGCTGTTTCCCCGGTAACTGTCAGACTCTGTTCCATGTTTTGTGTGTGTCCTGCTCCCCATGCTCCCCATGTGCCTTCCCATGCCCTTATTTGGTTAGTTTCCTGTTCCTGTCCTGATTAGTTTATTTCATTTGTCCCAGCTGTTTCCCTTGGTTTTATTGCTCCCAGGTGTGTCTCGTCATCCCCTCCTCCTGTGTGTGTGTATAAAATGTGTTCCCAGTCCCAAGTTCTCTGTCCGCTGTTGTACGTCTTCTTTTCTCACAAACTCAGTTTTGACTTTTCTGGGTTCCGTTTAATGGTTAAAGTGCCCCTATTATGGATTTTTGAAAATGACCTTTCATGCAGTGTGTAACACAGCTCTAAGTGAATGAAAACATCCTGCAAAGTTTTAAATCTGAAAGTGCACCGTGTATAAAGTTATTGTCTCTCAAAATAAAGAGTCGACTCTGAATCATTGAAACGAGTCGTTTTTAAAAACGAATCCCAAGCCGTTTCGTGTTGACCTCAACATGAAACATTAGCATATTGCATGCGGGAAGCTTGAAAATGCAAATTCATTCCCCGGTAACGCTGTACACAAAGCAGCACTGCACTCACAAACGCTGCTTTATCATGCATGATAAAATGAAAATGACACTAATCGGACCAATCACTGCAGATTAGCGTCACGCAAAGGAGGGGTTTGGAAAAATGAATCGTTGAGCGAATCGTTTGGGAGTCGTTGAGCAAGTAAGGTAAAAATAAATGCATATTATAATACAATGAAAGTGTTTTTTGACCTTGCATACATGACAACCTGTTGTTGGGGACTCCCAAAACCAAAATATGAACTTTCATTACCCATAATAGGGGCACTTTAAATTAAATTTCAGTAATCTGAATGCATGTCTAATTAATTTAAATCATGAAATGTAATTTCAAACGTGTTTCAAAATGAAATGTGTAACAAAAATGTAATTGGAAATCAGTTTTATTTTTCCAAGTTTTTGTTTATTTTTTATGATTTAATTGAACTTTAATAATCAAAAAGCATTAATAATAAATTGGATTAATAAAACTTAATTATTAAAACAATTGAAGCATTTATAAACTTTTTACTTATATATTTTGTAGAATTTCTTTCAGGTTTCTATGTTGAATGGAAAGTGTAAAAGAACAGCATTTGTTTGAAATAAAAATCTTTTGTAACAATATAAATGATTGATCAATTTAATGCATCCTTGCTAAATAAAACTACTAGTTTCTTTGAATGGCAGTGAACACTGGATGTGCCATATTTACAGTCGTGCTCTGCTTTCCTCAGACAAGACATAAGTGCCTCGCGTATGACCTGAGCTCTGCTGTTTTAGGTACTTTCTGTGGCGGTTCAGCATGCTGTGCTCCACTCTGGACTTCCTGACGGAGAGCTACACCTGGCCGCTGCTCGTCTACCTGCTTCTTATCTGCCTGTACCCCTTCACATCCAGCTGCGCTCACATCTTCAGCACCATGTCGGACGAGGCTCGTCACATCTGCTACTTCTTCGACTACGGTGCGCTCAGCCTCTACAGTCTCGGTACGGGTGATTCTGTCTTGTTTGTTTGGAGTGACACTTAACTGCAAACTCTGTTGGCCAGTAGACAGTGACCATTCTTACCAAATATTTTCTGTTTAAACATCAGTGGTATTTTTCTATTTAAACATCAGAGTTTTGACTAAAAACCTCACCTATGGTTCATGCTGCAGCTTATTTTAGATAAGAGCTGCCTACTTACTGTAGCTAGAAAGAGAGAAGCGGACTGACATGTAAAGCCTCCTACTGTAATTTGGACTTTTTTTGTGACATTCACAAGATAAATGATAAAAGATACCTGATGCAACACCCAAAGATAAATGTATAAAATGTGCATAGACATTGTAATGATTAGAAATGTTCCCTTGGCAACATAGATAAGATCCCTAAAGTTGCAAAGACTAAAGTCTCAAACTCAAAGAGATACTCTTTATAAAAGTTAAGACTCGTCCACGCCCTCCTAAAACGCCTCGTTTAAACGCCCCCACATGTCTATGTCACTGTGTGGGAAGATTTTAACGCCGCCCAAATGTTCACGCAAAGAAAGAAGGCGTAACTTTATTGTTGCTGCCGCCGCCGCCATGTTGTGAAGACGCTGTGTGTTTTGTTGCGAAAACTAAACTACTTTGTTTGGCCTTCCAAAAGAGGACACGACTAGAAATCAGTGGTTAAAGTGTTAGTTCACCCAAAAATGAAAATTAGCTTGTGTTTTACTTACCCTCGAAGCATCCTAGGTGTATATGACTTTCTTCTTTCTGACGAATCCAGTCTTGAGTTATATTAAAAATTGTCCTGGCTATTCCAAGCTCTATCATTGCAGTCAGCGGGTGTTGCAGTTGAACAGTCCACAAGTCGTCAAATAAAGAGCGCGCATCCATAAAAAAAAGTGTCTCACACGGCTCCGGGGGGTGAA